CAAAAGTAATTCTTTATATGAAACTTTGTCCAATTTAACTCCCCTAGATATCCCCTCTATCATCTGTCCTGGACTTGTCCAAATCGGAATCTTATAATTTAATCCATAATAATATTTCTTCCAGACTCGAAGTAAAGCACTTCTCAAAATATGAGCCTTAAAAATTTTGTCTACCTTTTTATCATAAATTAAATATGCCGAAAATGTTACAGTTCTTTACACTAGCAATCTTCAAGTGCATCAGGTAATGTGGTGATTTATTACAAGTACAAGCTGTAAATAAGTATTTTCTTCTTACCTTCCAGCAAACACTACGAAACCTGCTGCTTCTCAGCTGCCCATTAATCCCCTTCAGCCGTATGGTTGCCAAGTAATTGTTGTTTACAAATAATTCTTCCCATTCTTTACTACGTGGAACAAACATAAGAAAAGAACTTCTTAAAATTATTATTAAAGACTTAGCTAAGTGAGAAGCAGTGTAACATAATTTGGGATAAACAAAAGAAAAGGAAGTTTTAAATGTATATATTTAGCACTGTCCTATTTCTAAACGCATGGTTGTCTTTTTGGACACATTTCTTCCTCGAATTTAATGAATATGTAGATGACTGTAATTATGCCAGCAACTGAAATTCATAATGTCTATGGAGGCTATTCCATTTCCTCTAAAACGTTAGCAGTACAGCTCAGTGAATAAACAAGAAAAATGAATATTAATACAAGCACATTTGGGTTTCACCCATAGATAAAACAGTATCTATTTAAAAGGACACCTTACTCCAAAATTATGGATCAGAGAAGTATAGCATTGACTGATAGTTCTTCACATGATAGATTTGCTTAAATGAAGCTTCTTTTCTTCATGTTATCAAGCTGGGCAGTTAAGAATGATAGAAGATGACTTCAGTTAACTTTTAGCGCTATTTACTCTTGCAATCTCTTTTACTTCTTTCTACATGAACAGTTTTAAAAATTTAACAGGTGCTAGCTTTTTTTAAAAAAAAACAACACCTGAAATAAAACTCCTCACTGTATAAACTGTTAAAAGCAAGCTTGAATACCTTGCAGTACCTACGGCTGGCTAGATAAACAACCTAAATATGCCTCCCAGGCACAAAGACACCAGGGGCTTAACACCTGTGCTTCATTAATATACAAGTAAATCTACTCTGCTGGGAAACAATTGGAAATTAATTGTCTCAAACCATTTATAGAGAATTTGAATACAAGAATGAAATTGTATTTCCTTTATTTTTCACAGAACACTATCACTCACTTGAGAAGCTAAAATGAAATAGTCTAAAGATTTTCTTTATTCATTAAGGTGTTGAAGATGAGATAAGTAAAACAAAACAAAAACACATTATCAGGTATATATGTAAGTAAAACTGAAGGAATACTTGGTATTTAAAAGATGCAAGATGAGTTATAAAATTACATCATAGCAGAATATTACCTACGCCCAGGAAGGAAGCAGCACCTAGCTAATCTTGGGTTATGAAAAAAAAGGAGCTAGGTAGGACTGATTAATATTTTGTTGGGAGATCAAACAAAATATATGTCTGCAAGCTAGATAGGAAAATAAAAAAAATGCAGAAGACGGTAGCAAAGAAATTTTATATTTTTGCCATGAAAATCACAGGGACATGCTCATGTTATCACCAATCAAGGTACCGTATTTGTGTAGTACATTTTTAAAAATGTGTTCTATATTGCTCTTATCTATTTTGACTAATGAAATTAATCAATATCTATTTTGAACTTAAACCATAAAAGTAAATTTCCAATTACAAAGAATGTTCATTCATTTCATCTTTCTGCTTCTCACCATACAAGAACTGAGAAAATATTCTCTAGAAAGAACTAACATCCAAATGAGAATTCTGTAGTTTCTGGGGCATTCGTACATTAATTTTTATCCCCCATTGCAAAAAGATTTCAAGCAAGTTTGTTTATTTTGATTAAAATTTTATCTACATGATTGGGGAAAATCATTTTGAACTAACCCAAATATTGGGATACCTCATTTTAGTACCCCAAAGGTAATTCTATGTTAAAATTGTGACCTTAAGTTTTATATTACTGCAAGACATAAATGGATCTTTAGTTGGAATCATTAATAACCATACTTTGATACTAAAACTATCAAGTTAGGCTCTTTAAATTCATGTTGAAGAAATTAATGGTTAATTTTCCGGAAATAGTAAAGCCTTGCATCTTATTTAGCATATTTCTTTCTAGGGCTAATTTAGAGTGTGATATTCATTTTACATTGATTTATGTTGAAATGTCTAGTTAAATATTTGCTACTCTGTTACACAATTGTTCTAATAAGTTTTCTTCTTAGTTAAATATCCTTTGAGTTTAGCTTGCTATGGTCTATTAAGTATCCTACATGCACATAGATATCCTACTGCTTTTGAAAATCACTAAAATAATAAATTTCCATCAAATGTCAACGTTCAAGGTGCTGGGAATATAGCCACACAGAATTTTATTGAGATTAAAACAAACATGCCATTTGAAAAGTCACAATTTTGAGTGGCGTTTTGAGTGGCAGGAACTTTGTGGATGGAAGTAAAGTATATATGGACCTATGAAGCACTGAATCAAAGCAGCAGTTGCTAAGCACATGGATCAGAGCTGACGACCTACTATGCATGCAGTATGCTTTGTTACTGTTATTGTTCAGAGAGAAAACTCTTATTTTCTAAATTGTTTGTTATGGGAAAATAATTAATGTGAGTGTTTTGTTATGTTTTGTGTTGTTTTCCTTAGCAACTACATAAAGTACAAAAGAAAACAAGTAAACAAAAATAAAAGCAATAAATGCAAAGAAGGCATTAAAGGTTTTTTTTGTCATGCATGCACGACAATGCTACTGAGATTTTACAAAAAGAAGGATGAAAAGTATGACAGAGTTATCATTTGCTTTGAAGAAGGCAGTGGTGTGGATCTTCACAACAAGTCTTTTTGAATGAAAGGATGTGGATATGGAACAACTGGTTTATATGATTTTTTTTCAGTCAGCCTTCAGGTCTGGGCCCTGGGACAATATTGACCATACTTGCAGATAGCGGTGAGACTGAAATAATGTTTTCCTGTTTCATTTCTCAGTATATATTGATCATATACTGACCTTCTAGAGTTGATGTGTATGTGTGTGCATGATTCTTTTTCTTTCATCCATGGCAATTCTAGATGGTGTTTGATGAGAGAGATCCAACCCCAACCCAAAGTAACAGGGTCCATATGGCTTGCCACTTATTCAACTTTTATTCAATATCTGCATGAGAACCTGGATAATATCATTCATCAGTATGCAGTATGCAGACAGGTATTTATAGGCATTTCTTGCTTCAGCCATGTAATATCACTGCTTTCTAAGCTGCAAAGCTTAACAGTGAGCTTCTGTATGCAATTAAAATGTTGTCACCATTAAAGCTCTTCATCCCTAAAGACCTGGTTACCTATGGGCCTTTTTTCTCATGTTTCTGTCTGACCACTTAGATACATCAACACACTATAAAACTATAAAACACTGTAACAAAGATATAATATATTCCTGGTTATTAATACCAGCTAATAAATGAACCACTGTACTCTGTACCAACTGTAATTTCTGAATGGTCTTGAAAAAATCCATGTAGATTTATTGAGTTGATGCATTATTTTCTATCTTGTCAATATTTTTCAGAATTGGCTCTATCTTACAGATATATACGGAGAACAGTATTATTTAGAGAACCTGGCAATTAACAGTAGTGGTCTTGAGATGGGGTTTTTTTTTGCTATTGGAATGTTAATGTTAATTATGCAGTAAAGATTATATTAGATAACCTTTATTGTCATTTTTTTACTGTGGGCACAATGGCACACATTAAAAATGAAATTTAGTTGCTTGCTCTCAAAGTTTACACATATATAACACACATTTAAACATACTATATACAACATATGTATAACAAAAGGGCTAAACATTTTTTTAACATTCTGAGTTGGCAGAGTGCTAATCCATATTGTTCCCCAATTTGCCAAGAGAATATTTTTTGTTTTTGTTTTAATATTTAAACCCAACATTAGAAATAAGGGAAGTGCATTTTTGAGTATGTTTATACAATCTGAGAAAGTGAAGAAAACAAAACCAAAGTCTTTTGTCTGGGTAAAATAATTTCAAATGCTCGTTCATCTGTTTTTCAGGTACTCATTTAGGTGCATCAAATAAAAGGAACATATCTTTACCTATTCTTGTAACTACTAAAATATAGAGACAACTGAGAAAATTGTTCTCTACTTTCAAGCATTATAACTGTTCTTGTTAATTCCTATGCAGATTAAGAACACAAAGAAAAGAAACACTGGATAAATGTTCATGATTGCCTCTACTACGGTGAACTGTTTTCATCCATCTATTCAATTTTGTTCTCCAGATCTACTCCAACCATGACTTATTCCCAGGAGAATTCAACATAAAGTATTTGAAAGGGAGACATGTTTAATGGTAGTGCTCCCAGGCTTCCCAAGCAGCTCTAATAAAATTCCAGTCTATGAGTCTATATTGAAACAGTCACTGCACACAAGCTACAAACCCTCCTTTTGTGTACGAAACAGCCTATTAAGCCCAATTACCTCACAGGACCATTATTACTCCACTCTGATAACTCTTTTTGCTTTCTGTAATACTGCTTCTCAAAGCAATACAGACTTTTTTCTACCAGGGCCCAAGAAGTGTAAAAAAAATCAGCCAATTCTTCTCCAATAATCACTTCAATACTGGTTTTATTAAGCTCATCCTTTAGACAAATAACTTTGCAAAACATAGCCTATGAAACTCACAGGAAATTTAGTAGAAATATATAAAGCATATTCAAGCCCAGCACCAGAAAGAGGGAAAGCTTCAGCATTAGAATTGCAGGTGCCAAAATCAACCAGATAAACACTGTTATCTATAATTACTTCATTTTTAGCTTAAATCACAGGTAATGAGGGAACTCAAGTTTCGAAAAGGCAATTAAGAACTGTACATAGTCTGCTTTCTGTGCAAAGAAAAATATTTTAGAAATGGATCATGGTGTTGTACTTTTAAATTCTTTGTAATCTTCTTTAACATAATAGACAAAGTAATGACTAGCCTCACATTATTTGTGATATAATACCTCTACTGATATTGGTAAAAATCATGATCAAGCTCTAAAATATGCCAGGGGAATCTAAATCTTAAATTATCCCTGAAAATTGTATTATGATCACTACCTACCTACTTACATTTAGATACAGTATTAGATAAGAAAATAGTTATTCTGCAACAAACTTGAAACCACTTAAAAAAACCTCAATTTTTTTTAAACCGAACACTTCCATTTTTTCAATACAAATGATTATGATGAAGTATCAAAGACTTTCTGAT